AAAGTGATATACAGGAAATTAAAACCTCAATCACAAGCTGGCAAAACTGTTTGAGTGAAAGTGAAAATAGACTTTCTGACCTTAAAGATACCATTGTAACTAATGAGAAAGTAAGAAAAGATCTCTTAAAAACAACTAGGATGCAAGAAAAGATAATACAATACCTGCAAGATGATGCAAAGATGAACAATGTGAGACTAATAGGCATCAATGAGAAAGAAGGAGTCAAAATACAAATGATATAAAAAGAATATGGGCAGAAGTAATAGCAGAAAACTTCCCAAATATACAGCAACAATCTGACATTCAGTAACCGAAGCATATAGAACTCCAAATAACATCAACCCAATTAAAACCACACCCAGACATATAACAATCAAGATGCCAGAAATTCAGCACAGGAACAGTATACTAAAAGTCCCTAAAGAAAAAGCAGATCACATTTAAAGGAAAACCCATCAGAATAATGGCAGATTTCTCTTCACAAACCATCAAGTCAAGAAGACCATGGAGCAAAGTCCTTCAAGTCTTGCAAGAAAACAAATTCCAACCCAGACTGATATACCCTGCAAAACTCTCTTTCAAGTGTAATGGAGAAGTGAAATACTTCCACGACAAAGAATAACTAAAGAATTTCATGATGACAAAGCCAAGCCTACACAGACTAATAAAGATGTTCTAGAGAAGGAGTAAATTGATCACAGCCCCATGAATGAGAATGGAAAGACCCCACCAAATAGGGAAAATCATTAAACACAGGAGATTAAGAGGTATACAATAGTAGTCTTTCAGTTATTCTTTGTACTACAGCAGCAAAATATTTCCATCAGCACACTCTACAAATGGACTTCTGCACCCTATGGATCATGATTCCACCTGAGTCTACAGGGTGGATTTCAAGGAAATGGCAGTAGCTCAATCCCACAAGTGACACCTGGCCACCAGTAACTGTCTTGGTCATTATACAAGTCCACAACACACTAGAACTTTGTGCAATATCCTATCCTCAAACTGTTAGAAGTGATGGTCATTTACTTGCCATTCCAGTATTTATCTTATGTTTTACTCTTAGTACTTCTTTGCTATC